AAGTAAATTTTGTTATACTTTGTTTTACATAGTTATCATTTTGCATTTGCTTTGTTTGGTCAGACTTTTTACATTTTAAAAAAGTGTTGTAAATCCTCCTCAAGAGCCATAAATAACCCCAGCCTAATCATGAGAAAATGATCTGACATGACATTCCAGTTGAGGGCAGTCCTCCAGGGTACTTGCCCAGCCCTCCTCAAAACAACCCCAGCCATCAAAACAAGGACGGGCTAAGAGACCCCCACAGCCACGAGGAGCCTCAGGAGACGTGGCCGAATGTATTGTGCTACCCCGGAGGGATAAAAACTAGGGAAATCTGAATAACGAAAGGACTTCTGTTAATAATTTGTTCGTTAGTATTTTACCGGTTCATTAATTGTTACAAATGTACCATACCAGTGTAAGACTGATGGAGGAAACGCAGCTCTCGCTGTCGGGGTGCTGGTGTATGCCCAGGAAAGAACCCAGGGAGCCCTACTCCCTCATCACCCTCGCTGTGGGAAGCGCACACAGAGAAGTCCCCTGAGGGCCCAGCTCCCCACAAAGCCCCAGCTGACGTGGAGCTGTGGGTATGAGCAAGGAAGTCCTGGGAGGACCTGGGTAGAAGTCAAAGCCAAGACGGACTTGAAAGACCTTGGAATGCGCTCCACAACCACACCCACTTCCATCAACAAAGGATGATGCCCTGCTGGCCAGAGCACAACCCCTGACCAATCCTAACGGAGTATTGGGCTGTGACTCAAGGTATAAAACAAACATCATGAGTCCACACTGAGATAGACAAACAGACAACTCTCCATACAGAATTCCACGTGACTTCTGTAGATGCTCTGCCCTCAAGGAGGTGGCACAGAACTCCTGCCCCTTTAAGTGCAGGCTGCACGTACTTGGACTTCTTTGCAAAGACTAGTATGGAAGGAGGGGAAAGAGTGCAGTGGAGAAAACTGACAGCCGTTACCTGAGCAGGTGATCCAGGGGAGGAGTCCTGCTGACAGACTGGATGTGACCGGACGAGGTGGCATCTACCTTACGGTCTTCCTTCCAAAACACAACCCCAAGATTGAGCTTATGAGAGACATCGTACAAATCCACACTGAGGGCCATTCTACAGAACCCCTTCCCAGGACTCCTCTACACTGTCAAGGTCATCAACACCAAGGAAGGTCTGAGGAATTGTCACAGTTGGGGGTGCCTAAGAAGCGTGGTGACTAAATGTTCTCTCATCAACACCAAGGAAGGTCTGAGCAACTGTCACAGTCTGGGGTCATCTAAGGAGCTTGGTGACTAAATGCGCTCTCCTGTGTGGGACCCTGGACCCGACAAAGGACATTAGGGGAGACTAAGGAAATCCTAACGAAGGGTGAACTTGAGTCATAATGTGTCAGTGCTGGCTCGTTAGTTGTGACAAATGTGCCACAGTAACATCAGGCGTTAATTTAGGGGAAACCCGGTATGGGGCGTACAAAGGAACTGTTTCATCTTCACAGCTTTTCTGTACATCTAAAGCTATTTAAAATAAAATGCTTAGTTAAATATTTTTAGAACTCAACAGAGGGATTATGCTGGTACCCTAAAAAAATGTTTAACACAAAACTTAAAATTCTCAAAACTTGAATATTTCTTTTCATAGTATTTTAAGATTTTATTATATTTCGGATATTCATAGGATATTAACATCTATAATATGTACTTTCCTTTTATGAAAAGTCTTGATTTAATTAATGAACAAAATATCTTGTTAAGGGTTCCTTCTGGGAGATGGATTACTACATTTTATTATAGTTTCTATCTTGAATTCATTCATGCGAACTTTAGAATGGATTTATCCAGCAATTTGTCACTTAAATATTAGTTGGCTGCACTGGTCTTTGACCTTTGCGTTTGCACAGATTCTGTCCCCCCCCCACCCCCCACCCCCATTGAATAGGCTACGAGGAAACTACCCATTGGGCAGCATGACAATCACCATCCTTGGCAATGTGAGAGCAGTGAGTGCAGAAATGGATCAGAACTTTCTGTGCAGCTATTCTAAGAGCTTTCTGTGTTTCTTCCCTGTCAAGACTCCCATTTTCCAGTAGATAAATGTTTCGGGGGGAAATGGAAGCGCAGGAACTTACATGTCATCCATCCAGGCTGACTGCCGCTTACATTCATGCATAAGCCCCACACCGGTCCTTGGTCGCACCCGTGATGGTGACACGACAGTTGGTGTCTCTCCTCCCCTGGCTGTAGAACCTGTGAGGGCGGCAGCCCATTTTTCATATCCCTGGGGACCCCAACCTCGCACAGCGGAAGCTGTTGGTAGCAGATCCTGTCGATGCCTCGCCTGCATCCAAGTTCTCTTATTTCACCATCTCTGCCAGAGGGCATTCCTTGGCATCCGGGCAGAAATGCCAGAGGTAATGCCCCAGGGTGCCCGCTAACCAAGGAGGACAGGAGTGGTCCTAACTCGGCTGGTTACCGCCTGGGTGATCCCCTGGGATCCCGTATGTCTCCTGTCGCATTGCTTATAGACAGGTGCCCTCATGCTCTGGCAGCATGGGAGCCTGGAGGACAGAGACCGTGTCGGGCGTGTTCACCTTTGTGTCTCAACCCGGGATGGTGCCTAGTAGACAGCAGCACTCTGCAAGTGTCTGCCAGACATGCTTTCATGCGTACATGAAGCAGCAGGGTTTCCATGGCGAGCAGTGCCCGAGTCATGGACAGATTTAAATCCTGCTGCGGTCACTTCCTGTCTGACTTCAGGCCAGTTACTGAACTCCTCCCAGCCTCTGTTAGCTCGTATGTACGGTGGGGAAATTTGGGCATACTCCCCCAGGTTGTTCCCAAAATCAGAGGGGATTGATTGTAGTGACGGTTATCACAGTACAGAAAGGCCTGGCCCACAGTCAGCCCTCAGTGTTCATGTGAATGGGTGGCCTTTGAGGTTGGGTTGAAATTGGACAAGAAAAGGCAGAGAAGGATGCTCAGATTAAAGCAGAATGAACAAATTCAAGAAAGTGAGAATAAAGACAGTGGGGAGCTTAGCAGGGAGCCCTGTGCCTGGGCCTGAGAACAGGAAGTGGGAACACAGGTTACAGAGAAGCCAGACCACAGAGGTTCGTGAGTGCCCGACTGTGCAGTCTGACTTGATTCCATGAGCAGGAGGGGAGCTCTCTGAGAAGGGCGCTGTCTGGGAGGTGACGGGAGTGATGGGATTATGAATTACGATGCCCTGAGGAGAGAGCGGAATTGAAAATAGAGATTTAGGAGCGATTCGCATAGTTTATCATGAAACGGGCGAACCAGCCTGCATGTAGTGGGTACCACAGTAGGAAATGAAAGGCAACGAGGGAGGGCTGCTCTCCACAACCGAGGAACCTGGTCGGTGTCATCCTGTTTAACACTTATTTTGCTGAGGACTTTGTACAGTAATTTTTCTCTTCCCATATACTTCCCAGGCCATCTAAATCCTCCCAGAACGTACAGACCAGTGTGGGCGAAGTGGAGTTGTCAGGTCTCTTGGAGATGTGGACTTTGAGCTGAGCCATGAGGATAGCCAGGAGTTGGGGCGTTGCAAGCAGGGCCAGTAGGACAGTCGTCCCGGCTGAGAGCGGAGCTTGGGGATCAAGAGGCGTCTGCGTTCACATTCTGCTAACAACTTCTCAGTCCCGTCCTTGAGCGGAGGTCTAGCGAGGGAGGGTTTAACTGGGCCATGAAGAGGCAGGACGGTACTCGGGCTGAGGAAACAGTCGTTGAAGGCCGTGGAGGAGGGGAGCGGAGCATTAGGAAAGACAAGGAGATGTGGTGCTGGAGGAAGGCCTGGGGAGGTGGGGACAGACCTCTCAGGGCAGGGTCTCATGGGCCACATCAAGGGTTTTGTCTTTTTTCCGGAAGCAGTTAAAAGCCACTGAAGCGTTTTTAGTAGAGGGGTGATGTGATTTGATTTGTGTCTGGCAAAACCATTCTGAATGTAGTGTGGACAGCTGTTGAAGAGAACAAGGTTGAAAGCAAAGAGACCAGTTAGCAAGTTAGGGTATTTATCAGATCTGGGGTAGCGGCCATGGATGGAGGCAGAGAGAAATGGGTGGAAATTAGGAGATATTTGGGGGGCGGCCGGTTAGCTCAGTGGGTTAGAGCACAGTGCTCATAACACCAAGGTTGCCAGTTCGATCCCCACATTGGCCACTGAGCTGTGCCCTCCACAACTAGATTGAAACAACTACTTGACTTGGAGCTGATGGGTCCTGGAAAAACACAGTTCCCCAATAAAAAAAAACAAAATTAAAAAAAAAAAAGATATTTGGGGTGTAAACCCAGCCGCGCATCATGACAAATTGGTTAGGGTGAAGGACACAATGTGACAAGAATGATGCCTAGATTTCTGCACCATTGGTTGGATGATGGTTATAAATATGCTGCAAACACCCATAATACATTGTCCCTTTGGTCAACTGTCAGTTAACTTCTACAGATTTAAATAATAAGACATATTTGTCCAAGTAGTTACCATTTTCAGTGCGCTTCGTCTCCTTGTGTAGGTCCATATTTCTTTTTGACATTTATGTAAATGGTACTTTTATATAAAAAAAAATTGTAATTCCCAATTGTGTATTGCTAGTATATAGCAAAACAGTAGCATGGTTTTTGTCTTTTATTAACTCAGCCTTCAATGACCTTGCTAAACTCACTTTTATTTTTAGATCTGGAAACTTGTGTAATTCTTTGGTATTTTCTATGTAGAAAATCAAATAGTCTGCAGATAAAGACAGCTTTGCTTTTTCCTTTTCAATCTGCATGCTTCATTTTTTTTCTCTTGCCTTTTTTCACCAGCGAGGGACCCCAACATGGTGATGAATAGAACAGCGCGAGTGGACACCCTGGTCTTCTCGCTATTACAGGGAAGACATTTCGTATTTTCCATTACGTCTCTTAACAGGAGGTTTTTCATACATACTCTGCATCCATTCGAAGAAGCTCTTTATTATTACTAATATTTGCCTTTTTTCTTCCCTTTTTAGCAGAAGACTCAGAAAGTGGCGTTTACATGCGATTTATGAGGTCACACAAGTGTTATGACATTGTCCCAACCAGTTCAAAGCTTGTTGTCTTTGACACGACATTACAAGTAAGTGCGCCCAGTTTTCGTGAGTTTTTGGTGTGTTACTTGGGTGGCTGCTTTAGGAGGTGATGTGAGCCCGCGGCACCAGTGGACATACATTGAGTGCTTTGACACGGAAGGCTCTGTGCTGAGGGGTCTGAATTCATGATCTTCATGACAGCCTTTTGGGGAATGTGCTGTTACTGTCCTCCTCCAGATGAGGAAAGTCAAGTTCTAGAGCTAAAGAATTTAAGTCACAAAGCTTAACCCACCAATCCTAGAATCTAAGAACTTAATCCACAGAGCTGGTGAGAGATGGGATCTGGAATTGGAACATGGGTCTGTCTGATGTGTGTTATAGCTATTAACTGTGAAACTGGACAGCCTCCCTCAGTATATTCTGATGCTTTTACTTAGTAGAATATATAATAAGTGAACTTGAAATATTGGTTAAAAAGAAAATGACTATGGTGGAGTATCTCTTGAGAGAACTTGATTGATCCCATTTTTAGCAGAAATATTGAACCTGATCATTTGGTACTACAACTGTGCTTATTACAGCTCATTTTATGCCAATATGACTTATAATCATATGAAAGTTATACATTAAACGTAATGATCAGATGTCATCCAATGTAATAAAATATGTGTGTACACATATGTACACGTATGCGTTTAGTGTCTGTGTTTATACATCAATCTTTACCAAGCAGGACTGTCTTCAGGTGTGTCTCTGGAAGTAGCCGCCAAGCCAGGAAGTCATGAGCATTTGGCACGTTATTAGGGTTGATCCCAGGTGAACCCCTGAGGGACTGGGGAAGAACTCGGAAGGGCAGGAGCCTCCAGGGGCAGGTCTCAAGCAAAGTCCCGTGGAGGGCGACCTGCGCTGACCCCTCAGCAGGATGCGTGGGGGGTCAGGTGCCCTTGAGAGTTCACCCTGGCCCCTTCCTGTTCGTCCAGGGCTGTCCTGGGACATGTCCACCCAGGCTCTGCCAGCCCTGCCCGGTGCTCTGGGACCTCTCCCTGTTCCTATCTCCCACCCCGCCAGCCTGGTCTGCTGTTGCACCTGGTGGCTTGCTCTATACCTCTTTTTAGAGGACACATGGGCCCTTGGGGCCATTTTGCCCTCATCCAGTGCCTGCTGCACAGAATTCTCAGGAATGTAAAAATGGTTTTGTTTTTAATTTAATTTTCTAGTTGTTTTTTGTTAGCATATAGAAATACAACTGATTTTTGTAAATGGATCTCGCATCTTATGACTACTAAATTCACTTTGGACCAAGTGACCTTAAGGGTCCTTTCCAAAACTCTTAAGATTCTCTGATTCTTTGACACAAAGAGGATAGGGAAACCTCCAGATACAGTATTCTAGGAGGAAAGGTGGCAGACAGTCACTTTAAGACATACAGTGTCTGCAACTACAGATTTCAGTAGTAAAATAACTAGAAATTCTGAATTCCCAAAAAGAACTGCTGGCTTAACCCGTCACACCCTCGCTCCCACCCCGCAAAAGGCTTATTTTTTCAAGAACCAGTTCTCCTGACTGTTGGGTTTCCACCAAGAGAAAAGTAAGTGGCAGCTGGTACGACCTGTCTGCTCTCACTCCTAGCCTCTCCCTTGCCGTGAAACTGACTTTCTTCTGAATTTAGAATTTAGCCAAAGTGAGTAATCCATGAAAAATGTGGGGCCAGCCTGTTGTGAGAAGCGTCCGTAAAGCAAGCCCGGTTTTGCCTCATTTGTCAGTGGGTCACAGGAGTCCCTGCCACCCGACTGTGGCCGTGGACCCGGATGGGGGTGTGAGGCTGGCTGCGAGATCAGGAGGCACCGCGCCAGCCGCGTGCTCCTGGAACTCGCCGGGCCTGCACAAGCGTCATTACTCGTACCGTGTCCGTGATGGGTGGCTGTGCTGCACCCCAGCGTTTGGCCTGGCAAGCAGGCAACACCCCATTTCACAACGGGACGCTCAGGCTGCATGGTCACTTGGCACCTCCTCGTTAGTTGTTCTGTCATCTCTACCAGGGCTCAGCAGGAAGCCAGGAACTGTTTCTCAGAAGAAAAATAATTACCTGCAGAGGAAGGCGTGGCTTTTTACTGGTTTTTCCCCAAAACCCTAGACATTTGCCCTGTGACTCTCCTGTGCTGCTTGACGAGGCTTCAGGTGGCACCCCTTGCGGGTCGTAGGCCGCGTGGATGAGGAGCCCGCGCTCGCTGCACAGAATTCCTTGCTCTGGTCCCCTCTGGGAACAGGTTTCTTCGGTCACTCAGTAAATGTGGCAGAGGAAACCCCCAGATTGGGGCATGGTGCTTCCAAAAGACCGCCCAGATGTTGTGTGACTGGCAGGGCGTGCGCAGGGCCCCCCTTGAATTTCCCCTGGAGGCATGTCTCTGACACTGCGGCCAGTGCCTCCCTCACCCTGAAACCGCACACTCAGGTTGGCGTGTGTCCCTCGAGGCATCTGAAGTGGCAGATCCCGCCGGCCCTGAGATGAGCAGCACCCCCGCAGGCGCTCTTAAGGCAGAGCGCGAGGGAGGGCCATGGAGCACTGCAGCACGCTGGTGACGGTGTGCTGTGCAGGCTCCCAGCAGGCCGCTCTAGGGCCTTCGACTTGGCATGGAGAGAGGGTGTGTGTCCCCCAGATACCGCATCTGCATTCCGCTGCAGTTAGTCACCGCAAGGTTATGTCCGCAGTCACAGGCCAGATGGGCAGCTTAGCTGGGGTGGCAGGCCCCCAGTATCTGCCCTTCCCAGGAATGGCCCACCGTGCTTGGTCTGCTAGCCTGGCAGCCGACGTGGGGAACCTGCGAAGTCAGCAGTGGTGAAGGCTGCGTCCTGCACAGTGACATTTTCTGTCTGACTTTGGAAACGTCAGCCCTGTAGCTGCAAGAGCGGGGCTTTTCAGGACTGCCCCCGAGGCCCTCAGCTTCTCTGACTGGCTGAGAGTCCACCTGAGCTTCTTGTTCCCTCTGGATGAGCCCAGCGCGCTGGCAGGGTTCACCCACACCAAGTCCTGTGGTCCTCCTGCTGTCAGGACAGCCAATATAGCAGCCACCTGGACCCCAGCACCCCTGGGGGTGCGACACCACAGTCACAGGTGATGTTTGTCCCGTCTTGATACCACTGCTGGCCTGGGGCCACGGGGATCCAGTTCCCCTCCGACCAAGAGCTCAGCACGGCATTCAGGCCCAAGGACATGAGCCCAACCTAGCCCCTCTGATGCCAGCACCCGCCTGGTGCCACTTTCTGTATCACGAGGAGCCAGTCAGGAGACAGAAGCTGCACGAGCCATGGCACAGGAAATTAATGGAAACAGTGCTAAATGGATATGAGTCTACTGGGCAACCGAAAGGGTAAATACAGACCTCGTCAGTGGTGTTCTCAAAGTGGGGCTCCCAGACCAGCAGTTTCAACAGAAGTCTGGAACTTACAGGAAATGCATATTATCCGGCCCATCTCGGACCCTCTTAAATCAGAGTCAGGATGAAGCTCAATGTTCCATATCTCCCCAAGTTCTTCTAGTGAGTCTGACACACTCCAAGGTTGAAAACCCACTGCTGTGCGGCATCGTGGCGGGAAGGGGCTCCTGTGGTGCTTTCTGGCTGGCGCCGTGGCTCTGGAACAAGAAAATGACAGGCTGGGTTCAGCTGCTGCTGCAGGAAGCAGGTGCCACGTGGAGCAGCAGTGCTGGGGGGAAGCTCGCAGGTGCAGATGTGGACACAGGAACACACATCTAGGGAGAATGAAGTGAACATGAAGGCAGGAATCAGCTTGATGCTTCTAGAAGCCAGGAAATGCCAGAGATTGCCAGCAAACCACCAGCAGCTAGGCGAGAGGCCTGAACAGATGTTTCCCCACAGAAGAGGGAACCACCCTGCCGACGCCTCGATCTCGGACTGGCCCAGAACGGAGATGAGGCTCTGTTGTCTATGGTATGGCCGCCCCAGCAGACTGATACGGGTAGCAGCCCAGCGTCACCGCTGCTGCTGGCCTCCTTTCCTTAGAGGCTGCAGGAGAGCCAGTGGCAGAGCTGACGTGGGGTCCCCAGGGTACCAGCGACACAGCGCAGAGTTAGAGGGGAGGGCTTGGCGCTCAGCGACAGTAACTTCATAAGTGGCACAGCAGAGGAGACGTCCCCTCCCTTCATAAGAAGTCCAGTAGTTCAAAGGAAGGTTGGAATTACGGAGTCTTCCCTCACAATGGCAATATGATTTGGTTACCAACACACTACAAACAATAACCATTTTTAATCAGCTTTCTATTTTAGATGTATAGAAAAGTCATGAGGATAGTACAGAGTTCCCGTATGCCCCACTCCCGTTTCTTCCACTTTTGCCATCCTACATTAGTATGGTCTACATTTGTCACAGTTAATGAACCAATATTGGTACCTGATTATTACCTGAAGTCCATCATTTGCTCAGATTTCCTCACTTTTTACCTAATGTCATTTTTCTGTGCAAGGACCCCACTGAGGTTACCATTTAATTGTCACATCTCCTTAGGCTTCCCTTGGCTGTGACAGCGTCTCACGCTTCCTTGCTTTTGGTGACCTTGACAATTCAGAGGAGTGCTGGGCAGGTGTCCTGTAGGATGCCCCTCCCCCCAAGGAATGCCTCCGATTCAGGGCTTTGGAAGGAAGACCCCAGAGCTGAAGTGCCAGTCTCATCACATCGTGTCGGGCACGTGCCATCCACACGGCTTACCACTGTCGAGCTTAATCCTGAGCTGCTCCCTGTCTTCGTTCCCACACTTTCTTCTTTGCAAGGAGGTCACCATGCAGCCCCCACCTAAGGGGCGGGGGTTAGGCCTCCCCTCCTTGAGGGCAGTGTGTCTGCAAAAGAGACATTTGTCTCTACCCCCGTTTATTCAGTCATTTACATCAGTCATTTACATTCACGTGTATGGCCATATATGTATAGGTTATAGTCCATTGCTACTTTATTTTGTTGCTCACATTATTCCAGTCAATATGATTTTTAATGCCAATAAAAGAGAAAACAAGCAAATATCCAAATAAGTGGCTGTTTGC